AATTATGTTATATTTTTTCTTTTTGGTTGTTTTGCCTTAAAAGCCCCATAGTATTCTAAGAGGGAAAAAATCCTTTGCTTGCACTTTCTGGGATGTCAGCAACATCATGACTCCTGAGCTGGTTTCACAAAACCAAAAATTGTATGTTTGTATTTATTGTAGCTACAAGTTTGTGGATTTTTGGTATTTGTTTCAATGTTACAGTTTCAGGTGGCACTATACACTGTGATATAGGAAATTGGAGTCAGAAGTCTTTAAAATAAAGATGTTCACTAAGATTTTCTCAGTTAACAATAGAGGGTACTTTCATGGATGGAAATACAGCATAAAAACTTGTGAAATAAAGCAATACCAAAAAAAAATACTAATAGTGGAATCATCTTTTCATGTGGCAGTGTTAATAAAGATGCTGAATGGCTAGAAGTTGCCCCTTGTATATATGTTAATTCCTATCTTTTGAGATTACTTGCTTTAAACAACACATTTGGGCTCCTACTGCAAAATGCCATTTGAAGCTTCTATTCAGAAAATATATTTCATTAAACTGAACCCTCATTCTCTTGACAATAGCAAAAAATAATTTTTACTTGTTCTGATGGCTCTCTTTAAAGCCAAGGGTTAAGTTAATGGACATACGAATAAGTGGTGCAGAGATAGGCTTTTCCTAAGCAGATGGCATTTTGTCTGCTCCCATCTGTTACCATACACATTTCTAGGCATGAATTTGGGACAAGTATCGTTCCAACTGGTTTCTGCATGTTGCTAACAGAAAAGATCGCTACTGCTGACATCACCATAACCATAATTATAAGACGATGGGTAATTTGTTGTGCAGTAGTGCAGAAGACTGACTATTTTCTGGACAAGGACCTCAGGCAATAAAAGGGTGAAGCTGATGTTAAAAGCCATACACTCATGTCAGCTTTGTCCATCATAACCAAGTTAACATTCTGCTGACGAGACATAGACCTTTATATGACAATTGACAAATCACATTATGTTCCTCTGGCTGTGTCATTTTTATGACTAATTGTCTTTAGCCTTCACTCAAAAGGTAATGATTTATCCTCCACCCCCTCTACATCTTTCAGATGCCCCCTGGGAGAACACCTCCCTGCAATCTCTCTCCACCTACATCCTTCCTCATCCAGACAGCCGTTAAATACAATCCCAGAAGATCCCATATGTCAGCAAGAAGTATTCTCCCATAGATGATCATATATCCTTCTTTATGTGTTCTCGCTTGGGTGGAACAGGAAACTGCAGATGTTCCCTTATCTATGTAATATATTAATGAAGGTAAACCTTGGTCCCATATAACCGAGATGAAAGCTGAAAGGCACACATGCAATTATTTAATATCAACACGAATGCATAACTACATTCGTTAGCAAACTATTGTCTAAATATTCCTGGAATGTTTCTGCATTTAATTGATTGGGAAATTACACATATACAGTACTAAATATACTGCTTAATAGCAATAAGCGCATTGCTTTTGTTGCAAATTACCAATTTTGATCATTGAACTGCTTCTACTTTTTCTTTACATTGTTTATTTTAGTGATCTTTTTTTGCCTTTTTTGCCTAGTGGTAAATTTAACCCTGTCTGTTCCAGAAAAAAAACATTAGCCAATTAATGCTATCTAATTAAATATTTTGCTGGTCTGCTTCTAAATTAGGACTTTGAAACATTTGGTCAACTAGCTAAAAGATTTTCATTTAATCAGTATAGTAGTCAAATTAGGAATCCATATTGTAACACAGAGGTGATTATGCTTAAAGCATTACCTAACCGAAAAAGGAAATTTCCGCATCTCTGTCTCCTCCCTTTAAGTTTTGGAACATTATATTTTTTGAGGGGGGAGCAAGTACCTGGTCTTGACAAGTATCCTCTCCCACTTCTGATTGGATTGCTGCTGCGATCCGAGTGGAGGTCCCCCCTTTTCCCACAGCTTTCTGAAGGACCATTCACAAAGCTCAGTGCAGCCCGCACATGTGTGGTGGGAAGCCAGCTGTGAAGCCACAACCGATCACAACTGGCTTCCCAAAGTAAACATGCTGGCACAGTGGACCCAAAGAGATGGCTCAGGCCGAGCTGTATCCCTGGACAGGTAAGTGTTCTATTATTAAAAGTCAGAAGCTAAAGTATTTGTAGCTACTGGATTTTAACTTTTTGTTTCTATGGTGAAGAACCACTTCAAGTTATTCTTGTTTGTCAAAAAAATTACTAGTGTAGGACTGCATATTGTTCTTTCATAATAAATGGAGGTAAAATATGTGAAACATTCTATTGAAAGAGTAAGAGAAAACCAGGGTTCTGTGTTATCCTGAACATTTTCCTGCAAACCATGTCATTCAGGGGCTATGCTGTGGTGGTCTAAGATTGAAAGGGTGCAGGATGCGGTGTGCCAAGTGTTACTGTACAGGCTGAATAATTTTTGGTTGCAAACTGCAGAGTATGAAATGTAGCGAGGTGGTTTAATGTGCTGTGTGGAGTGTATATGGGGTGCATGCTGCTATGTATTGAGTGTGTTGTGGTGCAAAATGCAGAATGCTAACACCTAGTACACAGAATGAGAAAATCAGACGAAAAATAACATCTTTGGAGCGATCGTCCGATAATTTGATCGTTAGTACACAGCTTTAAAGAGTTGATCACAAATGTTTAGGCGAAATTATCAGAAGAGACAAGCACGAATATGTTTCTTGTAAGATAACAGAACAAACGATTTTTATTAAATCAGTATAGTATTCGTCTTTAAAAAACTGAGTGACCAAGACTGTGCATGCTCGGAAATGAAAGAATACATTGCAATACATTACATAATCGCAGGAGTTGTATTCTGTTTTACGAAACTTTTCGTAACGCTAGTAACCTATTAATTTTCGATATGAGTATGCAAAAATAAATGGATGATCATTTTAATTGTGTGTATGAGGCTTAAGTGTTGTGCCTTCAGCAGGGAAGTTCATTATGCTGATCTCCCTCCAATATTAAATTTGGCCACTAGAAGGAGCCTGGAATAAATTTACTGTATTGCAGAAACCAGAAACTGTTCAGTTAATAAAAATTTCCATCATCCTTCATTCTCCGAACAATTAACAGGTGTATCCTGAGAGCTCAGACTCCATCTAACAACTGACGGAGAGGAACCAGTTATCATCACCTGCAGCACATGTGGACTAAGCTTACATCTCCTACAGGCAGTATCAATAGTGAGCATCTCCAAACTACTTACTTTATTCTGTTTTTTATACATTTCATACATTAATTGTTTGTACTTCTTATTTGTTTTTCCTAAACCCCACCCTGTTTTGTTAATAAAGCTTCAAGATTTAGTCTGGATTATTGAAAAATACCTGCACATTGAGTTACACACAGGAAAAAGTGTAGTAAGTACAGAAAACTAAATATATGGGATGTTCATATTGTTGTGTGCAAAGTTGTGCACAGTAAGTATAACAGGATTAAATATGATCTTCAAACAACAGGTTCTTCCCACCCCTACTAATTGCCATGTTAGTTTTAAGGAGAAGCTAATCTTAAAGCCCTTTACTTACCTAACTCCATGGTCACATGACAGGGTCTCACGTCTTTTCTCTTCCTCACTGCAGAGTTTGGGTGTCCACATCAATGCTTGGGTGACATGGACACTTACTATTGGCATTCCAGCAGTGGGGTCCTCTCAAGTCCTGAAAACTGTGGGAGCTTGGTGACATCACAAAAAAAGGAATGGTCGGTACAGGCAGACTGCAGAACTAAATCCCATGATAAGAACAGTAATATTGTACACTGGTATTCTCTCAAGCTGATGTATCTTATACTTGTGATTGATAGAGGAGTTATACTGTTGTTTAGGGGGATTGTCAAAGAATTTTTAAAATCCTTCCAATGTACATTGATCACTCAGAGGGGATTGTTTTTTTCTTAACAAAAGTGGAGTTACTCCACTTTAGGTTAGCCATAGACTATAAAAAGGCCTATGGCAAAAAAGAGAAACCTAATTCAGGCAACACATCTAAGAATTGGTATTGAAAATAAAATATATGAAATATATTACCTATTTGTTTTTGGGTCTAATGCTGCTTTAAATTGCTCAAATGTACATATTTTATAGATGAAGGAGCAGAGGCAGCAACCATAAAACCCCAAGCCTGCCCCTTTTCCTAAGAGAAAAGTATTTATTGTTTATTTATTTATTACAGGTACTTATATAGTGCTGCCAATTTACGTAGCACTTTACATACACTATATTGCAATAATATTGGGACGCGTGCCTTTACACGCACATGAACTTTAATGGCAGTCTTAGTCCGTAGGGTTCAATATTGAATTGGCCCACCCTTTGCAGCTATAATGGCTTAAACTCTTCTGGGAAGGCTGTCCACAAGATTTAGGAGTGTGTCTATGGGAATGTTTGACCATTCTTTCAGAAGCGCATTTGTGAGGTCAGGCACTAATGTTGAACGAGAAGGCCTGGCTCACAGTCTCTGCTCTAATTCATCCCAAAAGTGTTCTTTCAGGTTGAGGTCAGGATTCTGTGCAGACCAATCAAGTTCCTCCACCCCAAACTCACTCATCCATGTCTTTATGGACCTTGCTTTGTGCAGTCATGTTGGAACAGGAAGGGGTCATCCCCAAACTGCTCCCACAAAGTTGGGAGCATGAAATTATCCAAAATGTGTTGCTATGCTGACGCCTTAAGAGTTCCCTTCACTGGAACTAAGGGGCCAAGCCCAACCCCTGAAAAACAACCCCACACAATAATCCCCCCTCCACCAAACTTTACACTTGCCACAATGTAGTCAGGCAAGTACCGTTCTCCTGGCAACCACCAAACCCAGACCTGTCCATTGGATTGCCAGACAGAGAAGCATGATTGATCACTTCACAGAACACATCTCCACTGCTCTAGAGTCCAGTGGCGGCATGCTTTACACCACTGCATCCAATGCTTTGCATTGCAGTTGGTGATTTAAAGCTTGGATGCAGCTGCTCAGCCATGGAAACCCATTCCTTGAAGCTCTGTATGCACTGTTGTGCTAATCTGAAGGCCACATGAAGTTTGGAGGTCTTTAGCTATTGATTCTGTAGACAGTTGGTGATTTCTGCACACACTGTGCACTTCAGCATGAGCTAACCCCGCTCTGTAATTTTACGTGGCCTACCACTTTGTGGTTGAGTTGCTGCTGTTCCCAGTTGCTTCCACTTTGTTCTAATACCACTAACAGTTGACCTTGGAATATTTAGTAGCAAGGAAATTTCACAGATGGACTTATTGCACAGGTGGCAACCTATCACGGTACCACGCTTGAATTCACTGAGCTCCTGAGAGCAACCCATTCTTTCACAAATGATTGTAGAAGCAGCCTGCATGCCTAGGTGCTTGATTTTATAGACCTGTGGCTATGGAGATGATTGGAACACCTGTTAATCCAATAATAATATATCCAATTAATCCAATATATCCAATTAATCCAATAATAAAATAATAATCCAATTATTTGGAGGGGTGTCCCAATACTTTTAGCAATATAGTGTATATATATATATATAGTACATTCACATCAGTACAATCTAAGATCCCTTAGACAGGGCAGCACAGTGGCTAAATTGTTAGCACTTCTGTCTGGCAGTACTAGGGTCATTGCTTTGAATCCCAACCATGGCACCACCTGCCTGGAGTTTGCATGTTCTCCCTGTGGCTGCGTTGGTTTCTTTCGGGTACTCCGTTTTTTCCTCCCACTCTCCAAAGACATGCTGGTAGGTTAATTGGATATTGTCTAAATTGGCCCTAGTATGTGTATGTATGAATGTAAGTTAGGGACGTTAGATTGTACGCCCCTTGAGGGTTAGGAACTGATGTGAATGCACAATATATGTAAAGTGCTGCATAAATTGACAGCACTATATAATTATCTGTAATAAATAGAAAAGAGCAAATTAACCTAACATAGTAATTATACATAGAATAATAATAGTGAAAAGCTGATTATGCTGTGGTTAGTCACGCTGCACCCTGACATCCAATAACTGTAAACTTTCTTTTTTTTCTTAATTTACAAACTTATGTTTTAATAAAATCTTACAAAAAAAATACTATATATCAGGTATCCATGACATACAGTTTGCAAAGCATTCTGGGCTTTCGAATAATGTGTATCCTCCTTTCACAGCAAAAGCTGTTCCTGAGGATTAAAACGTTTATGCTCTATTCTATAGCAAGCCACCTGCTAGCAATGAGTGGCAAATATGAAACATTCTTAGAAGACATTTCAGATTTATTTGACTTAAAAAGAAAGTTTAAAAAGTTTTAATAATGTATTTGTTGTAATTGAACAGAAGGAAATTATGAAAAAAATATAATACTTGTATGCAGTATCTTTAAGGCTTCTTAAACTTTGCAAATGTTTATTACAATATGGTTTTAAAGCTTTCTGAACAGAATACCTTTGATTGTATAGTCATAGAATAGAAGCACGCGCACATCACTCCCATACTGAAAAAACCCTCCCTGGATCCCACTGACCTGAACATCTCCCTGCTGCCATTTACATCCAAACTCCTTGAGTGCTTGGTCTATAATCGCCTGAGTTCCCACCTCACCAGCAACAACCTCCTTGATTCCCTACAGTCTGGCTTCCGTCCCCTACACTCCACTGAAACTGCTCTACTCAAACTCACCAACGACCTGCTAACCGCCAAAGCTAATGGCCACTATCCAGTGCTACTACTCCTCGACCTCTCCGCGGCTTTCTACACGGTTGACCACCCCCTCCTCCTCAAAAAACTACACTCTCTTGGCCTTAGAGACTCCGCTCTTTCCTGGCTCTCTTCCTATCTATCACAGCACTCCTTCAGTGTTACCTATAACGCTGCCACCTCCCCTTCACTCCCCCTCTCTGTTGGGTTCCCTCAAGGTTCTGTCCAAGGGGCCCTTCTCTTCTCCATCTACACCTCCTCCCTTGGCCAACTGATACACTCCCACGGCTTCAACTACCATCTCTATGCCGACGACACACAAATCTATCTCTCTACCCCTCGCCTCACCCCTTCAGTCTCCGCCCGTATCATAAGCCTACTGAACGACATATCAGATTGGATGTCACTCCACTTCCTCAAACTAAATCTTCCAAAATCGAGCTCCTAGTTTTCCCCCCAGCATGTGCCCCCCCGACTTTTCTATCACGACCAACTACGCCACCATCAGTCCCACTCCGCAAGCCAGAGTACTAGGTGTCATCCTAGACTCCAATCTATCTTTCCAGCCCCAGATCCAATCGCTGACAAACTCATGTAGACTCCACCTCCGCAACATCTCCAAAATACGTCCATTCCTAACCCCAGAAACTACTAAACAACTCATTCACTCCCTTATTATATCACGACTTGACTACTGTAACTCCCTCCTCACTGGCCTACCTCACCACAGGCTATCCCCACTTCAGTCTATCCTGAATACTGCGGCCAGACTCATCCACCTTACCAACCGCTCCATATCCACCACCCAGAGGGTGCCCACACTCAAAGCACACCCAAAAAAGCCTACCAGGGGCATTTCATGGGGCCCCCTACTGATCCCGGGCCCTTGGGCGGTGCCTGAGTGCTCGAATGGTCAGTCTGCCCCTGGTTGTAAAGGTATTTCATGCACACAACATGAATTTACATCCTTTGTGACTATTGAGGAATTTATTCAGAGTTTTCAAGTTCAGCCTTAAACATTGGGCTCAATGTATGGTCTTTCAGTGGGTACTTAGCTAGGCATTATTAGCTCTGTACAAAGACAATTATAAAAATTACTAACTTCATACATAATTTATGCTTCATATACCGTCTTTTTTTTTTTTTTTACAGTAACTAGGCCTTTGCTGATTGGTTGGTTTAATTGCTATCCAATAAGCAACATTAAACTAACTGATCACATGAACAATAACAATAATTGATGATGGCGAGATTTGCTGATCATGCTCCATTTATAATCTGAAGCCTCATCCATTATTAAAGGCTGTATGTTTCTCCCTCTCTTTCCACCGATCAATTTCTGAAACCATGAAATATATAAATGTATATTCCCAGCATCATACAGGGAAATTCAAGGACAGCTTTTTGACAATAATTAACAGTGACAGAAATTATTTGACTAAATTAAAATGTATTAACTATTTATATGGTCAGTTAACCTATTCTGTGTAGGATACAGTGTCCCATATGCACGTAAGTGATATTAGTCTTTAAGTGTATTATGGATTTTATTATATGGAGCTATTAAAATATCAAAAGTCATAAAATATGTTTTCAAAGGGCAATGAATACATTTTCAATATCAGGGAAAAAAAATCAAAGAATGTAAGATCTTGAAACTTGCATAAGGAAGATGAAATGATGCAATACTGTACTTTCTGCTGGATGGCAGTATGAGTAGACTCTTATGAAATGTGTGATCATTCATGGCTGATCATAATACAATAGCAACAGCACACAGTTATCTACCAATTACAGATGAAGCCAACGATTATTGATAGGTAATAATAGTAATTCTACCTTTAATAAAGTACTGAAGAACAGTAATGCAATAAATATATATATTTGCCCATTAACCCTTTCCTAATGCCATTAAAAATATACACAATATATTAGGTAATATTTGCCTGTTTCTACAGGTAATTCAAATTTGTATGAGGGGTTGCAGTTTACTTGTGTTTGCAAGGAATCAGGGACTTTACTTCCTTTGGTAGTTGGTCTTTTTTCCTGTATTGCCCTTCATCCAACATGTGTCCAATACACACCACTAAATCCCAAGATGCATTTCAGTAGTGAGATATGAATTCCAAAAGGGAGAGGTCTTGAAAAAGGAGAGATCTGGGCATGCTCTGAAACGGGGTCCCCGGTAGAGCAGCGGCCATGTTGGCACTGTGCTCTCAGCTCCCGCTGCAGCTGCTGGCTAGCACAGCGAGAAAGGGACACAGTGACAGGATCCCTGCACAGGAATGCATTACGATGAGCCTATTCTTACATCTTGTAAGTGTTTTTAACTGTTTATCTTGAATGAATTTCTGGAACATATTCCACTTAGAGGCGCTTTCTTGCCTTCCTTTAGATGTGAATTCCAGCATATGCAGTTCTCTCTTCCAATATTTCCATGTAACTAATGAGATCTGTACTCTAATACATATAGCTCATACTCCAGTGTTCATTTCACTACTGATTTCTGCACTCCCATACGCACAGTTCACATCAGAGTGATCAAGCAAACCATGAAATCTGGACAGATCTGTGATCTGTCCCAACATACAGTACAATACCCTATCTTTATCCTCCCACTATATAGACCAATGCTATTCTACTTTGGGCAGGAAGAAGTGACAGCGTGAGAAATACACATCTTGGAGAAAGTGCAGAGCTGTGTTATTTTCTGTCCACAAGTGCTCATTTACACTGGCGGCAGCCCTTGCCAGCCCTCTGAAAATCGATCCCCCATAAATTGCTTTCCAAAGGTGGTTGACATGTGGCTGTAAGGCGATTTGTCACCTCTTCACTGCCTGCTTTAACTCTGAGAAGCTCATACCACCATGTTGCCAATGTCTGCATTGCATTCTTGTAACCTTTCCTATGGAAGGAAGAACAAAATCATCAGTAGTGGCATAAACACTGCCTTGAAAACCCAAACAGAAACTATCAATACAAAGAGAAACAAATAACCATGTACCTCAAGTAACAACATACAATCCAGCACTAGAAGGGATAAGAAAGACAATGAAAGAGCTGCAACCCATCATAATAGAGAATGAAACTCAAAGAAATATTGCAACAAACCCAAATTCTGGCCTTAAGTCAACCACCCAACCGAAGACAGATTAATCAGCAGGTAACTGCAAACTGTGGAGCCCAATCAATCCTTTAAACTTGTCACACACACAAAAGGGACCTTAAATATTACAGAATTGTGCAACTGTACCTCCAGTAATGCTATGTACCTGAAATAGTTCAAATGCATGTATGTATTGAGGGATGTGTAGTCTTTCATATTCAAACTTAGTGGCTGTGTGTATTTTAGTAACGTCTTGTTGGGCGATGAAAAAATAGTCCAAATGCATGTATTTATTGTGGGATGTATAGTCTTTCATATTCAAATTGAGTAAGCAGCAGGGGCGGACTGACAACTCATGGGGCCCCCGGGCAATAGGGGATCATGGTGCCCCTGTGACCTTGCCCACACTCAAAAAAGCCTATGAAAAAAACGTACCAGGGGCATATCATGGGGCCCCCTACTGACCCCGGCCCTCGGGCACTGCCCGAGTTTCCAAATCGTCAGTCCGCCCCTGGTTAGCAGTAGGTGTTGTGGAGAGTTAGAGTCTAAATCTCTTTCTTAAACTGTT